TTGAACACACGGTGGGTTCAACTCACAATGGGTTCAACTCACGGTGCGTTGAACACACGGTGGGTGGAACACACAGTGGGTGGAACACACAGTGGGTTGAACACACAGTGGGTTGAACACTCAGTGGGTTGATCACACAGTGGGTGGAACACACGGTGGGTAGAACACACGGTGGGTTCAACACACGGTGGGTTCAACACACGGTGGGTTGAACACACGGAGGGTTCAACTCACAATGGGTTCAACTCACGGTGCGTTGAACACACGGTGGGTGGAACACACAGTGGGTGGAACACACAGTGGGTTGAACACACAGTGAGTTGAACACTCAGTGGGTTGATCACACGGTGGGTGGAACACACGGTGGGTAGAACACACGGTGGGTTCAACACACGGTGGGTTCAACACACGGTGGGTTCAACTCACAATGGGTTCAACTCACGGTGCGTTGAACACACGGTGGGTGGAATACACAGTGGGTGGAACACACAGTGGGTTGAACACACAGTGGGTTGAACACTCAGTGGGTTGATCACACGGTGGGTGGAACACACAGTGGGTGGAACACATGGTGGGTTGAACACACGGTGGGTTGAACACACGGTGGGTTCAAAACATGGTGGGTTCAACAGACGGAGCGTTGAACACACGGTGGGTGGAACACACGGTGGGTTGAACACACGGTGGGTTGAATATACGGTGGGCTGATCACACAGCGGGTTCAACACACGGTGGGTTCAACACACGGTGGGTTGAACCCACGGTGGGTGGAACACACGGTGGGTTGAACACAAGGTGGGTTGAACACACGGTAGGTTGAACACACAGTGGGTTGAACACACGGTGGGTTCAACACACGGTGGGTTGAACAAACGGTGGGTTGAACACACGGTGGGTTGAACACACGGTGGGTTCAACATACGGTGCGTTGAACACACGGTGGGTTGATCAGAAGGTGGGTGGAACACACGGTGGGTTGAACACACGATAGGTTGAACAAACGGTGGGTTGAACACACGGTGGGTTGAACACACGGCGGGTTGAACACACGGTGGGTTCAACACACGATGCGTTGAACACACGGTGGGTGGAACACATGCTGGGTTGAACATACGGTGGGTTGAACACACAGTGGGTTCAACACATGGTGCGTTGAACACACGGTGGGTGGAACACACGGTGGGTTGAACACACGGTAGGTTGAACACACGGTGGGTTGAACACAAGGTGGGTTGAACACACGGTGGGTTGAACACACGGTGGGTTCAACACACGCTGGGCTCAACACACGGTGGGTTGAACACAAGGTGGGTTGAACACACGGTGGGTTGAACACACGGTGGGTTGATCACCCGATGGGTGGAACACACGGTGGGTTGAACACACGGGAGGTTGAACACACGGTGGGTTGAACATACGGTGGGTTGAACACACGGTGGGTTGAACACACGGTGGGTTCAACACACGGTGGGTTCAACACACGATGCGTTGAACACACGGTGGGTGGAACACACGGTGGGTTGAACACACGGTCGGTTGTACACACGGTGGGTTGATCACACGGTGGGAGGAACACACTGTGGGTTGAACACGCGGTGGGTTGAACACATGATAGGTTGAACACACGGTGGGTTGAACACACGGTGGGTTGAACACAAGGTGAGTTGAACACACGTTTGGTTGATCGCATGGTGGGTGGAACACACGGTGGGTTGAACACACGGTGGGTTTAACACACGGTGGGTTTAACACACGGTTGGTTGAACACACGGTGGTTTGATCACACGGTGGGTTGAACACACGGTGGGTTGAACACACGGTGGGTTGAACACATGGTGCGTTGAACACACGGTGAGTGGAACACACAGTGGGTTGAACACAAGGTGGGTTGAACACACGGTGGGTTGAACAAACAGTGGGTTGAACACACGGTGGGTTGAACACACGGTAGGTTGAACACACGGTGGGTTGAACACAAGGTGGGTTGAACACACGGTGGGTTGAACAAACAGTGGGTTGAACACACGGTGGGTTGAACACACGGTGGGTTCAACACACGGTGGGTTCAACACACGGTGCGTTGAACACACGGTGGGTTGAACACATGGTGGGTTGAACACACGGTGGGTTGATCACACGGTGGATGGAACACACGGTGGGTTGAACACACGATAGGTTGAACACACGGAGGGTTGAACATACGGTGGGTTGAAGACACGGTGGGTTGAAGACACGGTGGGTTGAACACACGGTGGGTTGAACACACGGTGCGTTGAACACACGTTGGGTGGAACACACGGTGGGTTGAACACACGGTGGGTTGAACACACGTTGGGTTGAAGACATGGTGGGTTGAAGACACGGTGGGTTGAACAGACGGTGGGTTAAACACATGGTGCGTTGAACACACTGTGGGTTGAACACACGGTGGGTTGAAGACAAGGTGGGTGGAACACACGGTGGGTTGAACACACGGTGGGTTGAACACACGGTGGACTGATCACACGGTGGGTTGAACACACAGTGGGTTCAACAAACAGTGGGTTGAACACACGGTGGGTTGAACACACGGTGGATTCAACACACAGTGGGTTGAAAACACATTGGGTTGATCAAACAGTGGGTGGAACACACGGTGGGTTGAACACACAGTGGGTTCAACACACGGTGGGTTCAACACACGGTGGGTTCAACACACGGTGGGTTCAACACACGGTGGGTTGAACCCACGGTGGGTGGAACACACGGTGGGTTGAACACAAGGTGGGTTGAACACACGGTAGGTTGAACACACAGTGGGTTGAACACACGGTGGGTTCAACACACGGTGGGTTGAACAAACGGTGGGTTGAACACTCGGTGGGTTGAACACACGGTGGGTTGAACACACGGTGGGTTCAACACACGGTGCGTTGAACACACGGTGTGTTGATCAGAAGGTGGGTGGAACACACGGTGGGTTGAACACACGATAGGTTGAACACACGGTGGGTTGAACACACGGTGGGTTGAACACACGGCGGGTTGAACACACGGTGGGTTCAACACACGATGCGTTGAACACACGGTGGGTGGAACACATGCTGGGTTGAACACACGGTGGGTTGAACACACGGTGGGTTCAACACATGGTGCGTTGAACACACGGTGGGTGGAATACACGCTGGGTTGAACACACGGTAGGTTGAACACACGGTGGGTTGAACACAAGGTGGGTTGAACACACGGTGGGTTGAACACACGGTGGGTTCAACACACGGTGGGTTCAACACACGGTGCATTGAACACTCGGTGGGTGGAACACACGGTGGGTTCAACACACGGTGCGTTGAACACACGGTGGGTTGAACAAATGGTGGGTTGAACACACGGTGGGTTGATCACACGGTGGGTGGAACACACGGTGGGTTGAACACACGGGAGGTTGAACACACGGTGGGTTGAACATACGGTGGGTTGAACACACGGTGGGTTGAACACACGGTGGGTTCAACACACGGTGGGTTCAACACACGATGCGTTGAACACACGGTGGGTGGAACACATGGTGGGTTGAACACACGGTCGGTTGTACACACGGTGGGTTGATCACACGGTGGGAGGAACACACTGTGGGTTGAACACGCGGTGGGTTGAACACATGATAGGTTGAACACACGGTGGGTTTAACACATGGTGGGTTGAACACAAGGTGAGTTGAACACACGTTTGGTTGATCGCATGGTGGGTGGAACACACGGTGGGTTGAACACACGGTGGGTTTAACACACGGTGGGTTTAACACACGGTGGGTTGAACACACGGTGGGTTGAACACGCGGTGGGTTTAACACACGGTGGGTTCAACACACGGTGCGTTGAACACACGGTGGGTTGATCAGAATGTGGGTGGAACACACGGTGGGTTGAACACACGATAGGTTGAACACACGGTGGGTTGAACACACGGTGGGTTGAACACACGGCGGGTTGAACATACGGTGGGTTCAACACACGATGCGCTGAACACACGGTGGGTGGAATACACGCTGGGTTGAACACACAGTGGGTTGAACACACGGTGGGTTGAACACACGGTGGGTTGAACACACGGTGGGTGGAACACATGGTGGGTTGAACACAAGGTGGGTTGAACACACAGTGGGTTGAACAAACAGTGGGTTGAACACACGGTGGGTTGAAAACACGGTAGGTTGAACACACGGTGGGTTGAACACAAGGTGGGTTGAACACACGGTGGGTTGAACAAACAGTGGGTTGAACACACGGTGGGTTCAACACACGGTGGGTTCAACACACGGTGGGTTGAACACATGGTGGGTTGAACACACGGTGGGTTGATCACACGGTGGGTGGAACACACGGTGTGTTGAACACACGATAGGTTGAACACACGGTGGGTTGAACATACGGTGGGTTGAAGACACGGTTGGTTGAAGACACGGTGGGTTGAACACACGGTGGGTTGAACACACGGTGCGTTGAACACACTTTGGGTGGAACACACGGTGGGTTGAACACACTGTGGGTTGAACACACGGTGGGTTGAAGACATGGTGGGTTGAAGACACGGTGGGTTGAACAGACGGTGGGTTAAACACATGGTGCGTTGAACACACGGTGGGTTGAACACACGGTGGGTTGAAGACAAGGTGGGTGGAACACACGGTGGGTTGAACACACGGTGGGTTGAACACACGGTGGACTGATCACACGGTGGGTTGAACACACGGTGGGTTCAACAAACGGTGGGTTGAACACACGGTGGGTTCAACACATGGTGGATTCAACACACAGTGGGTTGAAAACACATTGGGTTGATCAAACAGTGGGTGGAACACACGGTGGGTTGAACACACGGTGGGTTCAACACACGGTGGGTTCAACACACGGTGGGTTCAACACACGGTGGGTTCAACACACGGTGTGTTCAACGCACGGTGGGTTCAACACATTGTGGGTTCAACACACGATAGGCTAAACACACGGTGGGTTGAACACATGGTGGGTTGAACACACGGTGGGTTGAACACACGGTAGGTTGAACACACGGTGGGTTGAACACACGGTGGGTTCAACACAGGGTGGGTTGAACACACGGTGGGTTGAACACACGATAGGTTGAACACACGGTGGGTTGAACACACGGTGGGTTGAACACACGGTAAGTTGAACACACGGTAGGTTGAACACACGGTGGGTTGAACACACAGTGGGTTGAACACACGGTAGGTTGAACACATAGTGGGTTGAACATACGGTGCGTTGAACACATCAACTCTCCTATAAGAGCGTCAACTCCCCTATAAGAGTGTCAACTCCCCTATAAGAGCGTCAACGCCCCTACAAGAGCGTCAACATAAGAGCGTCAACTCCCCTATAAAAGCGTCAACTCTCCTAAAAGAGCGTCTACTCCCCTATAAGAGCGTCAAATCCCCCATAAAAGCGTCAACTCTCATATAAAAGCGTCAACTCCCCTATAAGAGCGTCAACTCCCCTATAATAGCGTCAAATCTGCTATACGAGCGTCAACTCCCCTATAAGAGCATCAACTCCCCATTCTCCCGCTTACCATCACCCCGCCCCATTCTCCCGCCTTCCATCACCCCACCCCATTCTCCCGCTTTCCATCACCCTGCCCCATTCTCCCTCTTTCCATCACCCCGCCCCATTCTCCCTCTTTCCATCACCCCACCCTATTCTCCCTCTTTCCATCACCCCGCCCCACTCTCCCGCTTTCCATCACCCCACCCCTTTCTCCCGCGTTCCATCACCCCGCCCCATTCTCCCGCTTTCCGTCACCCCGCCCCATTCTCCCGCTTTCCATCACCCCGCCCCATTCTCCCGCTTTCCACCACCCTGCCCCATTCTCCCACTTTCCATCACCCTGCCCCATTCTCCCGCTTTCCATCACCCAGCCCCATTCTCCCGCTTTCCATCACCCTGCCCCATTCTCGCGCTTTCCATCACCCCGCCCCATTCTCAAGCTTTCCATCACCCCGCCCCATTCTCCCGCTTTCCATCACCCCGCCCCATTCTCCCGCTTTCCATCACCCCACCCCATTCTCCCTCCTTCCATCACCCCGCCCCATTCTCCCTCCTTCCATCTCCCCGCCCCATTCTCCCGCTTTCCATCACCCCGCCCCATTCTCCCTCCTTCCATCACCCCGCCCCATTCTCCCTCCTTCCATCACCCCGCCCCATTCTCCCTCCTTCCATCACCCCGCCCCATTCTCCCGCTTTCCATCACCCCGCCCCATTTTTCCGCTTTCCATAACCCCACCCCATTCTCCCGCTTTCCATCACCCCGTCAAATTCTCCCGCTTTCTATCACCCCGCCCCATTCTCCCTCCTTCCATCACCCCGCCCCATTCTCCCGCTTTCAATCACCCCGCCCCATTCTCCCGATTTCCATCACCCCGCCCCATTCTCTCGCTTTCCATCACCCCGCCCCATTCTCCCGCTTTCCATCACCCCGCCCCATTCTCCCGCTTTCCATCATCCCGCCCCATTCTCCCTCCTTCCATCACCCCGCCCTATTTTTCCGCTTTCCATCACCCCTCACAATTCTCCCTCTTTCCATCACCCCGCCCCATTCTTCCGCTTTCCATCACCCGCCCCATTCTCCCGCTTTCCATCACCTCACCCCATGCTCCCGCTTTCCATCACCCCGCCCCATTCTTTTGCTTTCCATCACCCCGCCCCATTCTCCCGCTTTCCATCACCCTGCCCCATTCACCCGCTTGCCATCACCCGCCCCATTCTCCCGCTTTCCATCACCCCGCCCCATTCTCCCGCTTTCCATCACCCCGCTCCATTCTCCCGCCTTCCATCACCCTGCCCCATTCTCCCGCTTTCCATCACCCGGCCCCATTCTCCCGCTTTCCATCACTCCGCCCCATTCTCCCGCTTTCCATCACCCCGACCCATTCTCCCACTTTCCATCACCCCGCCCCATTCTCCCTCCTTCCATCACCCTGCCTCATTCTCCCTCTTTCCATCACCCCGCCCCATTCTCCCGCTTTCTATCACCCCGCCCCATTCTCCCGCTTTCCATCACCCAGCCCCATTCTCCCGCTTTCCATCACCCCGCCCCATTTTCCCGCTTTCCATCACCCCGCCCCATTCTCCCGCTTTCCATCACCCTGCCCCAATCTCCCGCTTTCCATCACCCCGCCCCATTCTCCCTCCTTCCATCACCCCACCCCATTCTCCCGCTTTCCATCACCCCGCCCCATTCTCCCGCTTTCCATCACCCAGCCCCATTCTCCCACTTTCCATCACCCCGCCCCATTCTCCCGCTTTCCATCACCCCACCCCATTCTCCCTCCTTCCATCACCCCGCCCCATTCTCCCTCCTTCCATCACCCCGCCCCATTCTCCCGCTTTCCATCACCCCGCCCCATTCTCCCTCCTTCCATCACCCCGCCCCATTCTCCCGCTTTCCATCACCCCGCCCCATTTTCCCCCTTCCCATAACCCCACCCCATTCTCCCGCTTTCCATCACCCCGCCTAATTCTCCCGCTTTCTATCACCCCGCCCCATTCTCCCTCCTTCCATCACCCCGCCCCATTCTCCCGCTTTCAATCACCCTGCCCCATTCTCCCGATTTCCATCACCCCGCCCCATTCTCTCGCTTTCCATCACCCCGCCCCATTCTCCCGCTTTCCATCACCCCGCCCCATTCTCCCGCTTTCCATCATCCTGCCCCATTCTCCCTCCTTCCATCACTCCGGCCTATTCTTCCGCTTCCCATGATCCCGCCCCATTCCCCCGCTTTCCATCACCCCTCCCCAATCTCCCTCCTTCATCACCC